ATAAATACTAGAATGTCACATGCTTGGGAGACTGTGTTAGGAGGGCTAGAGTAGAAGATAACTCTTGGGTTTCAAGTAATGTACAAGTTGTGCAAAGTTAGTTAGAAAAACAAGAATAAGAATATATAGGGGGACACTTCTCTGAGCAAATGATGGCATGTTGATAAATGGCAAAGAGAAAACAGACCTCATCAATTTTTATTTTGATTCCAAGAGACAATGTCAAGGAGAATGGTTTTCAGACTAAAAGTAGGGTGTAGAGTAGAACAAATATGATAACTGAAGACAGTTCCCAATGGGTGAAGAAATTGTAGGAAAGCATCTCTCTGCTCTGGGGGAACTGTATCTCAGGAAAGAGAGAATTTTTAATGATATCTCTGCATCTCTGTTGTTGGCCTTGGAGAGAGCTCGGAGAATGTGAACATTCGTTAGAAAAGGAGGGAGGTTGTGCAAGAGCAAATGAAATTCCAAATTTCAAAAATATAGATTTCAGAAACTGCAAACCAATGATCTTAATATCACTCTGGGGTAAGATCCTAGGGTAGCATTCAAAGGGATGAGTTGTAGAGGAGATACTAGAAGAGAAGGTGAGGATTATTAGAACTTCGCATGGGTCTTGTGAAAACATGGCCGTTTTTTTTTTTTTCTTTATCGGTTGACTTGGCTGTTATATCAAGGAGCACTGTTGGATATAAGACATACTAATAATCAGGAAGAATCAGAAACCCAGGGGCAGCAAGCTCAAAGAGGAAATAAACAAAAGGTATTTAGCTTGGAAGAAAGAAGGCTTAGGGAGAACATGATGGTAGAGGTCAGGTAGGTCAAGAAGGACCATTATATGGAAGAGGAATCAAGTATCTGTGGGCTTCCCGAAGGCCAATGGGTAGGATTACAGGGATCTAGGAAAATACTCAATGTAAGGAAGGATTATCTAACCACTTACACCATCTGACAAGGAACAGAGTGCTTGCCAAGAGAGTGATTTCCCTATCACTGCAAGTGTGCAAGCAGAAGCTGGCCAATTACTTTTTGGGAAATGTTCTAGGAGATATTCATGCATTACTGTGTGGTTGACTCTAAAGTCCCTTCCAATTTTGAGATTCTATGATCTGAGGACAGTATAGGTTCAAATCAGAAGGACTAGGTTGGAGATAGTTTTGCTATAGCTAACAGAGTGGAAGGAATTGGAAAGAGACGGAGGGAAGAAACGTAGATCCCTCAATTAAGGAAAAAAGGTCATGTAGTTATATAGTCAAGAGGAATCCATCATCTTTTTAGCTCCAAAGATCAGGATCTTCTCAAAATGGAGCAGGACTGTCCAGGAAAACAGCATTTCAAAGGAGGTCTCAAATGAACATCTTTAAAAGGCTTTTGGGATGTCACCAGGTACAAACATTTCAAAATATAATTTTAATGATGTTCAGAAAAAAGGACAGTGTGCCATTGGGTCCCTTCTCTTAGCAGGGCCCTAATCACCGGACTGCTGAGGAGGACCATGGGAGGAGAGGCAAGGCATAGTCTTGGAAGTAGGCCTAAGGCACAGGCCAGGAGAAAATGGTAAAAAGGAAGAGCAAGAAAGGAATGGGGTAATGGAAAAGGGAGGGCAGATAGGGATAAAATGGTCAGGCTCCTTTATTGCCAAATGGGTGACTACCTGGGCTTCCAGGGGTCTCCAGGGGCACCTCTCCTAGCTGGTTCGCAGGGGAGGGGAGAACTGAGAATCAGGAGAGTGAGGCTCTAATGCTGGATGTGTACCAACTTGCTGAGTGACCTTGTAGGTATCATTTCACCCTTCTGCCTTCTCCCTATGGTCAAACATAGACATCCCGTTAGCCTAAAAGTGCTCTGGGCTTTACAGGAGAAAATAGCTCCAGAAATTCCAGACATTGTCTCCATGTGTGCAAAGTGTTTGCGCTCGTTTCCACATTTTCACGTTGGGGAAGAGGGAACTGGTGGGAGGAGGGTAGAAAGGAAGGTGAGAAGAAATTGTGGTCAAGTCCCTGGGCTCCACCTGGCCGTCCCAGGGGACCCAAGTCACCAGGGGCTGGCAAAGGGCACATGCCCACAGCCTCTCTGCCAGCCCGGCACCCAGGAACCGGGCGGACATCCTCAGGCTCTGCTGTCCCTTTCAGCAAATCCCAGTGCCGCATCCAGGGACGGAAAGCGAGGCACGCCCCTCCCCCACTAGATGGCACTGAAACGCCTCGTTCCCGATTTTCAAACTGCAGAAAGGATGAAAAAAAGACAAAAAGAATATGGTGGAGGTGCGCTCTTTCTGGCTTGCAGGCCCCGCTGTGCAAAGCAGGGTGCCGGACCCTCTCTTCCCGGGGGCAGCTCTTCACCCGGCAGTGAGGGCCCCCGGCTTTGTAGTGCGGGTGACACCGAGGGGCAAGCGTTAGAGAGAAAAAACCCGGCTTTGCAGCCTGGGAGGGAGGCTCCCAGCCTTTGCGGCGCGGTCTCACGTGAGCCGGGCGGGGAGGGGGGGGGCGTCTCTGGGATGAAGCGGGGCTCGCTGGCGGCCCACCGGCTCCAGGTCGAGGGTCCCTCACTGCCTCCCAGAGCCCCCGCTGAGCCTACATCCAGCCGCCACCCAGACGAGGACAAATCCCGCGCCGAGGTTTCATTTAACCCCACCTCCCCTCTCAAAGCGCAAGCCCCCGGGCGTTTTCAAAATATCTATTAAGCACACCCCCCCCCCCGCGCCACGCTGCACACCCATTAACATCCTCTTCCTCTGGTCTTGAAAGGATCAATCATTTCCCTTTTTCCTTTCCTGCTGCGGAGGGAGGGGAGTGGAGGCAGGTGGAGGTGGGTGTGTGTCAGGGTGTCCGGCGCGGGCGTGGGGCTAGACTGGGGTTGGCCGTGGCAACCCCGCCGACGCGCGCGGCCCTGGGGGGCCACGCCTGTAGTTAAGCCAGCAAGGGAGCGCCTATGGCTTTCTGGGGGAAAACAAAGATCTAATATGATCCAAGATACCAGCCACCAAAACCGGGGACGCGGGGAACTTCCTCAGCCCCTCTGGGTGCCGACTCTGCAATAAAGCAGCCTTTATCCATCCAGTGGTGGATGCGAGAGAATTTTCCACCACTGCAAAGAGAGAGCCAGGAGATGGAGGCAACATCCCTAAATTTATAATAATGCGTGTAAACATGCTACACACCACATATATGTATATGTGCATAAATATGGATGTGGTTGGGCACATACCTATCTAGACACCATTGACTTGCCTGGTCAAAGACTAAGGCTTAGACATTTCGTGCCTGGGAAATGGTGCAGTTTATCTTTAAGGATGCTAGAAAAATAAGAGATGAGGCTCACGTTGCACGGATGACATCACTAGCTTTTGGCTGCGCGCTCCGTGTTCTCGTCTGTGGGTTTTAGCCAAGGCTGCAGCGCCGGGCGCCCGAGCTGAGCGAGCGAGCGAGCGAGCGCGACAGCGGCTTCCTCCGGCGCCCGCAGCCGGGCGATGCGATTTCGCGAGCGCCCCGGGCGCAGCCTGGGCCCTCGCTCCCCAGCACCCGCCGCGCCCGCGAGGCTCCCGAGCCGCCGCGGCTAGAGGAGGAGGAGGAGGAGGAGGAGGAGGAGGAGGAGGAGGAGGAGGAGGGGAGGGAAGCCCCGCGCCCCAGCCTCCCTCCCCCACCCTCGCCCCATTCACCTGGCGGCCGCCGCGCGCCAAGGAGCCCGACCGCGGGACGCCGAGACCCGGCCGGGATTCTCTGCACGCCGCCGAGTGAGCCGGCGCCTCGGCTCCGGGTGGGCTGCGAAGAAAATGGTGCAGTCCGCGAGCGGCTGAGCCCGGTCGGGCAGAGCCGAGCCGACGGCTCGTAGCCGGGCTCGGGCGGCGGGAGAAGGGGGCGGATTGCTCGGAGCGGCCGGGGCCGCCGTTTCCCCCCGTGCCTGCAGCGTGTTCCTTGCACCTGGGCAGCACGCTTCCCGCGGCTACTTGGGGGCCGGATGAAGTGAGGCGGAGGCGCCGCGGGAGACGCGGGTCTGGAACCTGTCGGGCGGATACTCAGGAGGAGGAGGGCGCTGGGGACACCGGCAGGACGCCCCGGGGGCCGGCTGCCCGGCTGCCGGCGAGCCCCGACCGCGCGCCCTGTCCATGGTGCTGAAGGCACCGCGAGCCGAGCCCCGCGCGCCCCGCGCGCCCCGCGCCCCCCGCGCCCCGCGCCGCGCGCCCCGCCGGGGGCACCGTCCTCCGCGCAGCCTGCCCCTCGCGCCCGCCAGCTCCCGCCGCGTCGTCCGCAGCCCCGGGCCGAGGCTCGTCGGGTGACGCCGCCCGGGTGACCGCGCCGTCGGCCCGAGGGGCCTCCTGAATGGCGAGGCCCGACGCAGACGACCCGGGAGCCCGCGCGGAGAGGTCGGCCGCGGCCGTGCGCGCACGGGGAGCCCGCCTCTGAGCGCAGCGCGCCGGCCAGACAGAGCCAGGGACCCGCCGGTGGCCGCGGCGCGGAGCTGCTTTAAAAGAGGCGACCCAGAGAGGAAGAGCGGCTCTTCGCCGGCAGACCGCAAGGGGGAGAGCCGCTGAGCGCCAGGCCCGGCGGGGCCCGGGCCTCCGGAGGCTGCCGTGGCTGGCCGGTCGCCGCGCGGCTCCTCCTCGTGACCGCCCGCACCCCGTCGCCCCGAGAAGAGGCCCGGCCGCCCCGCTGCAGCCGGGGGCACCTGGCGCTGAGTTCCCGGCCTCGCAGGGCAGCGGCGCCCCAAGCCCGGCTGCGCGCGGACTTCCCGGGGGCCGGGAAGGCGCGGGAGGCGGCCTCGCCCGCTCGCCGCCGCCCGAGGCTGCACCTGCCGCGGAGGATGCCCAGGAGCCAGCCGGAGCCTCCGCGGATCAGAACTTTTTAGGCTGCCCGCCCGCATCCCCGCCGCAGGCCCCGGGCCGCGCGAGCCCCGCCGGCCCCCTCCCCCTAGGCCCGGCCGCCCGCCGCTTTGTTCGGGCGCGCGGAGGGAAGGCGCGGCTGCGGCGGATCATGCCCATGGTGTAGCCGCCCGGCGGAGGCATGGCTGCCGGGAGGTTACTGCTCTACACCGGCCTGTCGCTGGCGCTCTGCGCCCTGGGCATGCTGGCCGTGGCCATCTGCTCGGACCACTGGTACGAGACGGACGCCAGGAAGCACAGGGACAGGTGCAAGGCCTTCAACACCCGCCGGGTCGACCCCGGCTTCATTTACAACAACAACAACAACTTGCCGCTCCGGGCGAGCCGCTCGCGCCTGGACCGCTGGGAGGGCAAACTCCTGCGGGCCCGGAATCGCCGGCAGCTCTTCGCCATGAGCCCGGTGGACGAGTGCAGCCGGCAGTACAACTCCACCAACATGGGCCTCTGGAGGAAGTGCCACCGGCAGGGCTTCGACCCCGAGATCGCAGCCCTCATCCGGAAAGGTAAGCGCGAGGCGCGGGGCGCGAGGCGTGGCGCTGCGGAGAGGAGAGCAGGAGAGCAGGAGAGCAGGAGAGCAGGAGAGCAGGAGAGCAGGAGAGCGGGCAGAGCGGGCAGAGCGGGCAGAGCCGGCGCCTCCCAGGCCCGGCCGCCCTCTCCTCCCCGCGCCTGCCCGCGCGCTCTCCCGGCCTCCTGCCCCCGGGAGGTCAGGCCCTCCAGGCCCTGCTGAGCCCCGCAGGGGCCCCAACTTGCCTCCCGGGAGCCGGTGACGGAGGCTTGCCTCGCCTCGCCCCGCCCGGCCTCCTGTCTTGCGTTTGTCTGCTGGGGTCGCTGTGCAATATCGGGGTCCCGGGAGGGCGGTGGGTTATCCAGGCTGATGCTTCAGCGGTCTCCGGAGAGGGAGGGAATCTGTCCTCTTGGGTTGTGCAGAGGGAGCCCTTGGAGAATGTTGGGTCAGGCAGGCAGCCTCCTAGTTTCAATCTTTGTTTCAGATATTGAACCGATTCAAGGGGGACAGGTCTCACCGAGAAGGCCTTACTCACGCCACAGACCTTTGCTAAGTGCTGGACTGTACTGGAGCCTGGTGCGGGCATCGGTCACATAAACATCAATAGACCACAGCCCCTGCCCCATTGCAGCTCCAGGCCTGTTGAGCAGTAACATGTACCACGATCCTTGAGGTCTCCTTTGGAGGAGGCGGTTGTCAAAAGTGACCTGCGTGCCTCGGATTTTAACAGGGCCTATAAACACGGAAAAAGTAGTTCGTCAGGTAACATCACAAAGTGGGCACCTCAGAGGAAAAAAAAAATTACCACGTTCAGAAGATTTATATAAAAAAATACCTCAAGTATTCCCAAACAGAAAACAGACTGCATTTGCTACTGATGAACATTTCTTGGATACTTTAGTGTCATCACAGAATTCTTTAAAGTCTGTTCGTCTGATGCAATTTGTAAATCTTTGCATGATTTCTGTACTTTGGGGACCAGCCTGTTCTGTTAATGCACTGAAATATTCTTTGGATATATAGGAACGTCTGAAGAAGGGAATACGTTGTCTTTTATGGTACTTGCATTCTGGAAGCTGTGGTGCGGTTTTAGGAGTCTTGTTTTTTTTTTTTTTTCTCCCTGCCGTGTTTCGTTCTCTTCAACTATTTAACGGTGATGTCGAGGTGAAAATGATTTTGTTGTCTGCAAAGTCTTTGAGGGCCACATGGAAAACCGTTCTTATTGCCCCTTAATATTATAATGCAGGTTTGCTGCTGTTTAAAAATATGACCCTTCTTTGATTTAGAAAAATGTTGAGATTGAGCAGAAAAAATAGTTAATTAAAAAAAAAAAAAGAAAAGAAAACCAACCAAACAACCAGTTAGTTGTTTAAGAATGACAAGCAGTGGGTATGGTCCAGGTGGCTAGTCAGATGTAGGTGAAGTAAGTCCAGAAGGAGAATCCATCTTAATGTTTGTGTTGTAGCTCCTGTAGAATGACTAGGGATTTTAGCTGATTCAGTTATGAGTGTCTTAATACTACAGACATCACAACTGCTTCATGGTTAGGCTCATACTGGAGCAGGGTGACCCATTTGGAGCTCTACAACTTTGTAAAGATGTGCAGGGTAATAGAGAATTCCAGAAGAGAGTAACTTGGATTTAGAAGCAGGAAAGCCAAGAGAAGACGCAATAATTTTTGAGAATGGGTGACTGTAACAGTGTTCAGATCCTCAGATTCATGAATCGTTATGTCCTTTGTTGTTCTCTGCTTTCATTAAAATCGAAATGGTGTAGGAAGTTAGCTGAAAAGTGCGGAAGAATTCATGTTAATAAGGACTGATACACAGTGATAGCACTTGGCTGAACGACATTCTTACATTTCCTTTCTTAAAGGTCTCTTGCAACAAGATGGGTATCCTTCTGTCTGGCTTTGGTTCACTCTACTTAGAAAAAGGGGGATGGAATCCATGGCTCCTGGTGGTTCCATTGAGGGCTTTGATTCCATGTTGCTTTGCCTGGCAATCCTGGGAGAAAGGTTGACTTGGTCTGTGCACCAGAGAGATTGGTTACCATAGTGACATGTTCTTCCGGTGGAGCTGGAAACACTGTGTCAGGGAAAGGGATAGGGGAAGAGTGTACAACATTTTGACTTTGTATCGACTGATTTTTAATTGCAGCAACAGAAAATGGACACGGCACAGCAGGGGGATTGAATACACTGATACCCTGAGTTGGCAGGGTGTTGTATTTCACTTGAACTAATGGAGATGCTGTTCCCCATCACCCAAAATACAGCAATCACTGTCAGCTGCAAACACCCACTTACCAGGGCCATTTCTGTCCATTTGACATTCTTGTTAGGTATTATTGAGATAGATGGCATGTCAGCCTTACAAATCTTGAGGGACCTAAGGTCACTATCTTCATTTTTAGCCCCCAAACATAATCTGTGAAAGCTAGATCTTCCTTTTCCCAGCAACAAGAGACACATTTTGGAAATAAGTGCATCTGATATTTGTAGGATCCACAAGCAATTCCAATAACAGAACATAATTTCTAGACTTAATCAGCGTTCTTCCTAGATTGGAAGATTTTGGAAGGAAGTAAAAAAAAAAAGAGATTGATATCCTTATATTTAAATTTAAGGCAGGCATCTTAGGGAGAGATATTTATCTCAGTAGTTATTAGTGGCCTCAAAAGATATTGAGTCCTTTGTCTTTTTGGGGAACATCTTAGATTAAAATTCTGAGAGATATGTGTTGGGTAAAGGGAAAGGGAAACCAGAGAAAAGACTGTCAAATCTGTCAGTATTATGGGAAAACTAGAGATTTATCACAATGACCATACAGCTCCCTGCAAGTCAATCATCTGTTAAATTAATATTCATTGCATTAGGAAGTGCTGTTTTGCATTTTAAAATAAAACAAAACCACATAATTAATAAGAAAACTAAAGTCAAATCTATATCTGATCTGAAGATAAAGTCCTTTGGATGCATGTTCTCTCTAAAATCCATTTCTCCAATGCCCTGCTGCCATGACTATACCAACAAATAGGCATTTCTGGTCACTGTATATTTATTTGTTTGTCTTATTGAACTGTAAGTTCCTGTAGGGCAGAAAAGATAAGTATTTGTAAAATACATTCACCAGATGTGTGGGCTTGGGAAATATCTCATACAAATAAGGTTCACAGAATCATATCCATCAAGAGCTTATTCTAATTGTAGGAACACTTGTGTGGGAATCCCAATGAAGGATTAGTCAGTAAGTTGTGTTGAAAAAAAAAAAAATGAACCGCTGTGGCTCTCAGGGCAGATTAATATTGCAACAGATGCTACCTAATTTAACGAGGAAGATTTTTTTGAGCAAAAAAAGTTTTTCTAAGGAAAGAAGGAAACAATACTTTTTTTTTTTTGATAGCGTATGTCACTGAACAGACATCTATCACTCACAATCATTATTTTTCACAGTACATAAGATTTTAATGATTTTCTTCTTGGAGGTAGGATTGAGTAAAGGGTGTAGCAAGGATAGATCATCCTTGAATTCCCATATGATGGTGTCCAAAATCAAGTTCTCTTGTCTTCTTGGTTTTCAGCCGGGTCAATGTCTCCCTAGTAAGTCACTGCAAGCATGGGGGACAGATCAATGACAGGATCAGTTTCTGAAATCCAAGAGACTTCCAGACCGTTAGGAGGAGCAGCTACAGGTTGGATTTTGTTCCAGGGAACATTTATATTCTTTGATTTGTACTGAAATGTTATATTGATATGGCTTAAAATAAGTAGACCTTCAGCTGAGACTCTTAAGAACTTTTTTTATTATTTGAAAACAGGCCTTATAATACAATTTGATGCATAGAATCATGGAATGGTTGTCAGTATACTGAGGCTTATTTTAACAAAAACATTGCATATATTTGCAAATTAATAAAGTGCTCCCCAGATATTTACTGCACATATATTATGTGATGGGCACACATCACAAGAACAAAGCGCAGAATAAGACATGGTCCTCAAAATTTCCACAGTCTGTTAGTGTCACAGGAAATAAATGACAACTACGGGGTGATGAGAGCAGCAGAAACAGATGCAGAGAAGCACGGAGTAGGCAGTGATGGATTGTGTTGGCAGTGGGGTGAGGTACGCCGGGAGGGGGTTGGCGAAAGTTGCCCGGAGGAAGTGAAATCTGAACAAAATTTTCAGGAAGTTGAGAGGTAGATGGGGATAAAGAGGCCAGCATCTGCAGAGCCATGGAGGTGGGAAACAGGTTTGGCCTCGTGAGTGTTGATTGCTGGAGTGAGGGAGAGGAGCGGAGCGTGGGGCTGGAGAGCGTGGAAGAGCCACGGCATGGAGCTGGTGCACGCAAATCCCTGGTGACTCTACTGCCTAGTAGGGTAGCCACTTGCCACCAGTGGCTATTTACATTTAAGATAACCAACATTAAATGGAATTAAAAATTCATTTCCTTAGTCATGTTGGCCACATTAGAGATGTTCAAGAGCCGCGTGTGGCTAGTGGCTATCGTAATGGACAGTGTAGTTTGGAGAACATTCCTGTCATCACAGAAAGCCCCATTGGACAGTGCTGTATGGAACCCAGAACCTTATAAAAGAACAAGCACATACTTCGTTTCAGATGAGGATAATGATAATTATTTTTTTAAGATTTTATTTATTTATTCATGAGAAACAGAGAGAGAGAGAGAGAGAGAGAGAGAGAGGCAGAGGGAGAAGCAGGCTCCATGCAGGGAGCCCGATGTGGGACTTGATCCCGGGTCCCCAGGATCACACCCTAAACTGCTGAGCCACCCAGGCTGCCCCAGATGAGGATAATTAAACATGGTAACTTGAGCTTAAGTTGAAGTATGCTGTTCTACACTTGAAGAAAATTTGTTCCTTGAATGTTTTGTGCAGAAGGTTCAAGTTCATGGTCTGTTATACTAAATCTGTATTGTATTAATTTTCCATCTTTGACTCACAGAATTCTCACATGCTTCTCTGTTCTCTCCTTTC